AGCCCGCACAGGGGCCGGCCTGGGGAGGGGGGGTAAGGCAGGGCTCCCTGAAAGATGCACACACACACACAGACACACAGACGCACAAATGCTGTTGGTTTAACTGTATGGTAGCTTTCTCTCCAGTGTCATTTGAATAATTCAGTGAGCCCCACTACCAGCTGTACTTCTGAAGCCTCTTCCATTCTTTTCAGCATTATAATTTTGGTTAATTTTCAATTTTAGGCCCTACGTCTCTGCAATTTGTGTATGAATAACAGAATAATTTTCCTCTTTTGTTTCGCCTTTCCTGTTCCTGAATCTAAATAAAGATGGCTTTTTAGTATTAAAAGTGGAAGAAAATTACAGGTAATTATCTTTGACGGTAAAAATGCTGTAATCAGCGGGCTACATGAAAAATTACTCTAATTATGGCTGCATTTAAGAGAATGGAAAAAAACCTTCTTGTGGATAAAAACCTTAAATTGTCCCCAATGTCTGCTTCAAATTGGATGGCACTGCAGCTGGAGGCTTTGTTCAGAATTGATCCTGGGGAGCTCTGAACCCAAAGTTTCACAGTGGGAAGGGGAAAAAAAGAAAAGAAAACATTTTTCCTAATGTAACAATACGAATGGTAGAAAATGACAAGACTGATCGGTTTTAAACCACTCTGAAGACTGACTGAGCGTGGAAGTTGCTCAAAAAAAAAAAAACAAAACACCCCCCAAAAAACTGGTATGTTGGTAAGTAGTCTTTGCTTTGTGTCTAATTATAGTGACTGTCCTTTTGCACGACTGTATGTAGCTGTCATTATATGGAGCACTCTGAGGATCTCTATTGACTTCTGATAAATGGCTCAGTGGTTTCAAGGTTCATAATTTGAAGGATGCCCAGGTCTCTAGCCATTAATTCTCGCAGTATGGGGCACCCAGCTTGGCTGAGGAAAGGGCTTTTCATTGTCGGGCGTTGCTGTGCTTTCCACAAGCCGGTGCGGCTGGGACTGGCCGGGCAGCGCGGCGTGTGCCTGGGCACCTCTCAGGGCTCTGCAAAACATTCCTCCGCTTGCATTGTCTGCTCTGGAAAAACAAAGGAGGGCGCCTCCTTTCTTAAGAATTTGGAGGCTCCGAGCTTTGGGAAGAAAGGCAGGGCTCCGGGCTTTGCCTCGGAGAGAAAGCTCAGCTCAGCTGAGCGGCAGAGCAGGGAAATCGCAGCAGAAATGGCCGGGTGATGGGTAACTTCTTCTAGGCTGATCTTTGCGCTCTCGCTTATCTCCTGTGCTAGTCGTAGCCTTAAAACCAAACCACCAGCTACCCCTTTGTCTCCTCTTTCCATCTTTTCTGTCTGTGCTGGCAGG